AGACCAATGTGCAAGGTCATGCAAGGTTAGATAAGGCTTGAAAATAATACTGAATAAGTCAACGTGTCAGGCTCAAGTGCTGACTTTTTCAATATTTAACCAACATCACAATCTTTCCCAAACTCTCCCCAGTTGCTTTGAGTTGCTTCAGTGTAACTGTAATATCATTATTACTCTATATGAAAATGATTCCAATGGATTTCATACAGTGGAGTTAGATAATGTAGTTACAAGAATAAAATAGTAATGGATTGGTATACATATCAGCAGATAACCTTTGTTTAGATATTGGAATTGGTAGAGAAAGTTGGATTGGTGTATCTCTAGTGATCACAGTCTCTGATTGTATATTCTTACATCAGATCCACCATTCTTATTCAATCTCATCTTTATATTTATTACATCAGGTGTGTATCTGTACAGCTGGTATTAATAAGTGTTCTCTTATCGCTGGCTGATTTGTCAACAAACACATGTGTGCTAGGTTAAGGGGAGCAATGCTGCTGTATGTGCTATACTGTACTCTTCTTTGCTATGAAAGAGGTCATGTTTAGTGTTATGACGCTGAGATAAAAAGGAGTGGTGGACTTTATGACATTTAAACTTGTTGGGTGGAATTTTTCACATTCACACCTGGTTGAGATCGGATCACAAACAACCTCCAGATGTGTTCCGGTCAATCAGACAGTATTACGACTGTAGTGTTTTGCATGCATTTACACCCCGCATTCACGTGCCTTTTACCTGATACAGATAAGCTGCACTGATACAGACTGCGTGTTAATATCACCTGTTAATGGGAGAGAGAGAAAGAAACCCAAGAGGAAAAATTGCAGATTGAGAATGAAAGCTGTTATGGGGCCTTCCCCACCCGTTAAACCACCCCTGTTCCTATTGCTCTGTCTCTCATACTCTCCCATTTCCGCTTTCTTTCTCACATGGCTGTAATTACGCTTGTGTAAACAAACAAGACCAGAGAGAGAAATCAGGAATTCCAGTTGGGTCTGTGGAAGATGTGTAGCTTACGCAATCTCACAGAGTGACACACACGTGCACAGAGGATCAGGAGGTGCACAGGTTTCCACTGTGAACTTTGTGTAGGCATTCAGGTTTGCTACTCCTTACCCAGCCAACAGCTGCATTCCACTTCACACACACTTCATAATAAGACCTACAGAAACACACACTTACCTGCTCATGGTACTCGATCCCCATGCTCAGAGTATTGATCAGAATGGCGATCATAATCCCTTGTCCAAAGTACTTGCTGTCCACAATCTTCCTGAATGTGTCGCACACCAGCCTCCAGAAGCGAACTACGTTCCCCGCCGTTTTGCCAAGCCTACACTGCTTCTTTTTTGGCTGCCGGCTGTCTCTCCTGTCCCTGTGGTGGAGGTCTTGGGTGAACTCATATACGCCCTCGCTGTCGGAGTCTCCGGGGGTCTCGTTGCCTTCAGTGCCACCCTCTGATTCATTGGCTAGCTTGGCGCAGTAGGGGCAACTCTCTGGGTCCAATGTCAAAGCGGCTGTGTCCATGGCACTGCTGGTGGTGCTGAGGTCACAAGCCGACAGCTGGCAGGAGAGCTGGGCTGCAGGCGAGTGAGAAAGGTCAGAGGGAGAAACTGATACAAAGAGAAGGAAACGGCAGAGAAATCAGCGTGATTGTGATAAATTACAAAAATTAAGTGGTTTAGACAGATTGTCAAATCCAATGAAAGAGATCTGTTGTGAAAAACATTTGTGGACATTTGCGTGTGTGTCAGAGGGCGTGTGTTTGTCTGTGATGGGCAGTGTGTGCTGTATGAGTAATGCCATTTCTACAAGCTGTGCTGTGGCCTGTCTGGCCGTCTGCCAGCGTTTCCACCGTCTGTACAACCTGGACAGACCTGGCCTGACTTTTGCTGAGCCCACTGCCTTTTAGAACTTGGCCAGAGGCAGACGAAGCTGGCTGCGAGCTACGACATGAGGGATTAACATTTATTGACTGCGATTAGCACTCTTTCTGTCTCTCACGAAAAATCCCCTCTCTGAATAGTGTTATAGTTTGAGGCTTAATCACGACAAATTGATATCGCACTCCACCATATAGGTGATTGCAGAAATAGGAACACTTCCAGTGGCGTGTCATTTGGTTTGCTTCTACACTGATATGGAAATATGGACTAAATGAGATACTCTTGTTATTTTCAAACCCTTGTATGCCTTCCAGATTTTTACTTAATGGGAACGGTCAGCAAAGCAAACCCTATCCACCACAGCTGACTCAAAGGAATGCAGCTAATGGAACTAATCAAACACTTTCCAAGTTTTTTATTGTATGTTATGACCATGACTTTCAATGCAATGTATCGTATAATTTGTTGTGATTTGTCTACCTGTGGCAGCGTGTGTGTCCAACAGGCTTGATGGCCGTCTCTCCAGGGGCATGGGCGGGATATTCAGGTTGAAGCTGATGTTAGTCAGAGTGCTGGCAGCAGCACTTCCTCGTCTGGACTCGGCCAGGGCTCGAGTCTGCAGGGTGGGGTAGTTCTTAGGCCCTGGGGCCGCAAAGGGTACAGAGTTCCTCTTCATGGCCCTGGACATGGGAGCCGGGGCTAGGGAGAAGGTGCCTATGGTTGGCCCCAGGTTTGTGGGCGAGGGGGAACAGCAAAGAGCCTCTGCATGGAATACACTGCGTACCGAAGATGAATCGGCAGCTCCCGTGGCAGGGTTGAACAAAGTGGCTAGGTTTGTATCAGAGGTGGCTGCTGTCACTGAAGGCGGCGGGGCTAAAGAAAGGTGCCCGGTGCCGGTGGTTGCTACAAGGGCCCCTCCGCTGTTGTTATGGGCACCGACCTCCACATCCCTACCCTCCAGGCACCTGCTACTCCCTCCTCCCCTCACGCTGCCATTCCCCAGGTGGTAGTGGTGGTGATGATGGTGCATCATGTGATGAACCGACACAGATCCCCGCCTGGAACACTTCCTCCTCCTTCTTTGGCTGCGTTGGGGCGTGGCGGGTGGGGGCGTAGCGGGGATGTTGAACCCAGCTCGGCGGGCCAGAAGCCTGCAGATATGTGCCACTTGTTTGGCCCCATTGCGGACGATTTCAACCAGGCACTTAAGCAGCTCGTCGTAGCAGGAGCCCGGCTCGGAGTGGGAGGCCAGAGTGCTGGCGTTGGACATGTAGCGCTCCCGCTGGTCCTTTATTAGCTGACTCTCTTTCTGCTTGGTCTCCGAGAACTGAGTGGCGATGACCACCAGGCACAGGTTGATCATGAAGAATGAGCCAATCTAAAGACAAGGAGGCGTAGATGACATTGTTATTCACACACTCGCAATTGATGCTCACACATCCGTCCCTCGACTGACCCACTTGTTCAATCATCAGCGGACACACCATGAAGTGGCACTTACAATGATGAGTAGGATGAAGTAGATGAAGTTGTAGAAGGAGTGAGAATCCATCACAAAGTACATGATGTCCACCCAGCCCTCCAGAGTGATCACCTAAAGAAGAACAAAGGCAGATGAGAGGAATATAGAGAGACAAAGGAAAAACAGTAATCATACAACTCACAAAAGAAAGAAGTAGAATTAAAAATATGGAATTAAAGGAGACTCTTTCTCTTGTGTGCGTGACCTCACACAGGCAAACCGGAGCAGTGGCCAGATTTATGGGACAACTCCTCTGGCATTTGTCCTCCAAAATTACCCCCCTCAGCCAGACAGCGATGAATGAACACTTCAACAAAAGGCTTTTCAGATGATTTGGAGATAGCAAACAAATGGTGTGGAAAAATGAGGCTGCAGTCTGGTGGTGTGGCTGTGGCGACCTGCTAATCCTGTAAGCTCTATCTCTCTGATACACTAGCCACTGGGGCAATTATGCTCCCTTTCTCCCTCTTCGTCTCCATCTTGTAATGCAGGCTTGCACGTCAGCCAAACCATACCGTATGTGTCTCATTGCAAAATCTTGCTTTACAAACTGACTACCTATTTTGCTCCAGTTGTTCGTCCATGCCTTGCAGGTGTGAATAGCTGTCTTACCTGAAAGATGGCAATCCAGGCGTAGAAGATGTTGTCGAAGTTGATGGCTCCCTGAAAGGGGTTGGTGTCACTAGCGGCGCATTCGGTATAGTACTGGTTCCAGTTGACGCAGGTGGTGTTGTCAGTGCTGTTGTAAGAGTACTCGTCCAGTTTGCACTCAATGTTGTGCTGGTACAGCTGCGGCACAGAGTTGCAGTTCCTCATGCCATTGTCTTGGGGCAGGGAGCAGATGAAGGGGTTCTCGTCGCTAATGTTGTCAGTATGGTAGTATTTCTTCAAACCCGTGCTGAGAGGGCTTTGGGGAATAAAAAGAGAGGACATTACAGGGGTTGATTGAGTCTTAGGTTGTGCTGTCATAAATCTGCTGAGCCCAGATACCTACTGCAGAGCATTACTGAGTCAATCAATTATCTAAAATGTGCAAACATTAGCTAACATTAGCTAACATTAGCCACTGTAAGCTACTGTTCATACCAGGCCAAGTAAGGCTGTAGTGGTAAAACTACTGAGCGCATTAAAATGAACAAGGAGGCGTTTCATTGCTCAACTTTCTAATAATAAGAGGAAGTATATGTTATCTTCTCTTTCAAAAGGTACAAAATCTCACTATAGGATATGCCTAACCACTAAATTAAAGTATGAAAAGATACCCTTGGGTCAGGCACTTACAACAAACTGAGACATACATTTAGTATAAAATAATAAATAGATTTAATAGATATAATCATAATGACATAGAATATATCTCAGAAAAAGAATGTAGAAATTTGCTGCTCCATGATGTGAAACCACAAGACATTTTGGCACAAAGATAGGAAGCTAGAGCTAAATCACATGTAGTGGGCTAAAAAAAAAGTGCCCCCAGGAAATCTGCAAAATAACAAAAATCTGTCTCTCTTCAGCGAGCCATCTTTGCCCTTCAGCCACCACTCTTCAACTGCAGGGTGCTTTTGTTGCCAGGTTGAGGCAGTTAAACTGGCTGGAAGTTTTCATATGAAGTGATGATTTTACCTTTGAATTTTAGCATACATTGGGTAGAATTTTAAGTGGATCAAACTTCGAAGGACCCAAAGTCTGCAGGCTTTAATTCCACTCAAATCCTACAGCAGCTGATTTCACTGATTAACACTCCTTCAAACAGATAGGAGAAACTAATCAGTGAAGCCACTTATAATTGTGTTGACATACCTGGGGCCAAATGGTTGGGGAGACCCCTGTGTGCATTGTGTGAGATGAGCACACATATTTGTCTGCCTGCTACACCAGCTCTTGGCTCTGTTATAGAGCACTTGTCAGTTTGGAATAACTGTGCCGTATCTGGCTTGTCTGTCAGCACACATTCAGCTGGCGGGCTTTATTAATTACATAGTGGCCTCAAATACTTTGTAGGACCAGACATGTCCTTTTACACTTCAGGACCGCCTTATACTTACTTATTTATTTAATGTCTCTTTGGGATGAGCTCAGTATGAAACACATTTGATTTATCGCACCCTACAATGATGCATGGGATATGGTTCCTACCGGATGCTCTCACATATTCTCAATCAGTGTGATAACGAGTCACTGGCAACCCAGTTAACAGCTGTTACTTTGCAGAAGAACAAAAATATGGATCAGCAATATGATTTAAAGAAAAGCCGTTAAAACAGATATGCTTATGACTTTAGACATAGAGCCAGTCTTAAATGCTATTCATCTGATGCAGAAGTACAGACCTTCCAGATATATGAAGAAGGTCTAAAAATTGATGATGATGACAAAAAAAATGCCAGCTCACCAAAGCCATTATGCATGAACTTAAATTACAGCTGTGAGATCTCATAAATCCTATAGAGAGTAATGAAGCCAGGGTGACACAGGGAACATGAATAAGTCATAGGTGGCCATGTTCCATATACTGTACCATGGGCCACATGGGGTCTTTTTCATTATAGCAGGGCTTGTCGTGCTCCCATTCATCACTGTGATGAGACTATCATCGCTAACCTCATTGACTTTCACGTATGACCTAGTTTAGTGCGTGGGGTCAAGGTTTACTCCATAGGTTTACCTTGGCCTCCTGTAGACCTTTGTTTGCAATCTCATTAGTGTTGTTTATCTCAGCTCCATTAGATAAGTTTCTTAAATAAGAAATAAATAAGTCCAGTCACCTTGAGCACCTTTGTAATACATACGAAGGTAAATAATAGCCATGTAATTCTGTATTTTTTCAATGTTTTCTTTAGACCATTTAAAAGGATAATTTGGGGTTATAACATCATCGGTCTTCCTTTCGCAGACTTCCGCCATAATTTCTAATAGTTAATGGTTATTAATAATTACTTTAGTGAGTACAATGTAAAATAAACAGAAAGTATAACATTAAAAGCTAAAAACAAAAAGTTATTGGCACCTGTCAGTGTTATATTATTGGATTATTATTATTACTTTTATTGTGCTTTTAGTGCTTCATATACTGTTGGGTACTCTGATCTATAACAAACAATCATATTTTAATCATATCATAGTTTTGTATGTAACATTTTAATCTGAATAGTAACTAGTAGCTATACCGTATTGTAAAAAATTTAGTTTATTATATTGGTGATAGTGTGACCAGTACTGTAGCTGGTCTTTCTATGCAATATTAATCCTGCAGTTAACATTAAACTGAGCATTACAGATGTGAGTACTTGAATTCAAATAGTTAACACGCTACACACACTGGCAAATACACAGATCAAATGGCGGCAAGGTGAACTCACAAGGAGAAGTTTTTCACAAAGCAGCGGTTTCTGAGCAGGCCGACCCACAGCTGGACGCCTACGATGCCGAATATGAAGAAGACAAAGAAGCAGAGCAGCAGCACGTTGCCCAGCATGGGCAGGGTGTCCAGCAGCAGGGTCACCAGGATACGCATACCTGAGAGAAGAAACAAGGACAAGGTCAAACAGCTGGGTGGCACACCAACGCACATGCAGTAGATAATACGTACTTGTGTGGATTAGGTGTTAGTTACTGTTAGAATTGAAAATCAAACCTCTTTTAAGTGGCAGTGCAATGTGTTCTTTCAGAGCTGATATGAGTACTGGGTATTTTATTGAATACAGTGGTCAATATGAGCACCAATTCAGGTGCCTCTCAATTTACAGCCATCCACAGTGCCTAGTACTGGTCTATTATAACACACTTACATGGAGAAGTGCACAATTCAGCTTCTTTATTCATTTGATCCAATTATACACTTGCCAGTGGATGCTATAACACTTTTTACAGTTTAATGGAAATCCAATAATAAATGATAAATGGCAGAGATAATGGCCTTCCACACATTACAGTCTAGTAAATTCAGCCTCTCTGTGTTTTATATTATTTAAACATCTTAATGAAGGACTGTCAAAACAGGGTCATTCATTGTAGCAGATGCAGAGCAGTGCTGTGGGTTACTTGTAAACAATATGGGGTCTGGCTCTTGACAAACAGAAGTGATTCAGTATGTTAATTTGTCAAGAGGATGTTTTTCTGCCACTGGGAAGGTTTTCAGGAAATGAAAATGAACAAACTGCTAATAATAAAAAAACAAGAAATTACTGATGTATGCCACTCTTGCTCTATTGGCATATGTTGATGCCATTCTATGTCAGTCATGTTTCACTGTCACTGGTATATACCAATTGTTATTGACATATTTCACTATTTATTGTGTTGGGCCACTGCTGTGCACAAATTGGCAGATACTGTAAGAAAATATCCAAAAATATAGTTTTGCAATATTTTGTTTGGTGATTTTGTATTAATTCTAAAAAAACACAATTGATTTTTGTGTTTAAACTCGCAACCGCTAGATAGCAGTGTTGCAAATGTAAGCTGAGGGCTATGATGTTGGATATTACAGGGATTGTGAGAAACATAAATGCAGATACCACCGGTCTGGTTGCATAAAAAAACTCGTTTGGTGGGGTGTTTTCCTAGACTGATGCATCAGTCAACTCAGTGACAAATGACGATCTGGAAAAGGGATTGACTACTGCAATGGTCTTTTGACAGGATTCCCCCAAAAGACCATAACATAAAACTTTTGTAATAGCCGCCACAATATGTCAGATTGTTACAAAATGCGGGTGTTATTACATAATGAAGGTGTAAAGTTCTTACATAGGAGTTATTACACAAGTTCATAGTGTGTTGGTACATACCTTCCAGTATAATATTATGGCAACAGCTATATGTTTTACCTGCCAGTGAGAAGTGGCATCTTTCAGTGGAACAATAGTGCCATGCATATAGCATCAACATATCACAATCAGCAAAGAGCTGTCATAAACCAGCTGGGAGTGGTATCTAGCAGCATTTTTATGTGCCGTATGCCAGTCGAACAGCAGCTCCAAAGTGCATACCACTAAGAATCAGCACCACTAAAACACACCACTGGAATTCCAGTGGACAGCGGTACCTACCAGTAAAACAGCATCGACAAGCCATTTAAGTGGCACACAGCAGCAGCACATCAAGTGCTGCAGTAATGAAGTGCCTATGAGCAAGGCACTGTAAGCCAAAGATGCTTCAGCAGTAACTAGAAGCCTCATTGCACTGTGTGCGCCGTATAAATATTAAACAGGCCATTGTAGAAAACAGGACGCGTGCTTAGCAACATCCTCCTCGGGATGAATAAAGGTTAAAAATACATTTGGAAGAACACACAATGAGTCCCGAGTGAAACGGAAGTACCGAGATTTGTTAGCAGCCTGCGAGAGTGTCAGCGGTACACCTCCAGTTTGCTCTGAATTAACGCCACAGTAAAAGACCTGCTTTTTTCGCCTTTCATACAGTACATCCCTGATTCTGTCAGCTCTGGACAGTGTTCCCTCAAGTTTCTGACAACACACACACTTCCTGCCGCCCACACACTCCCTCTGCTAAATCTGGCTGTGTCCCTCTGCTGTTGCTGCACAGATTTTGCTGTTATTTTCATC